TAATGTTATTTGTTATTATTTGAAACGAGATTTATTCATCGAGATTAAATCGCGGGAAAGGAGGAATAAAAGGTGTGGGGGACCGGTTTGACGTGTAAAATTTACTCGGATAAATTGTTGTACCCGCCTGCGAAAATGTTCTCTAATTGTGTAACTTACGAATAAGGGACAATTTTCGAAGGGATAATTAAACTTCAATATCTAAACACGTTGAACACGATTGCACGCTTATATTATATTTAAACAAGAGTTTAATTTTTTCCTCCCTTTTAATTTTTATCCTCGTTGAAAAGAAAAAACGAAACGCGAAATTGAAAAAAATATTATATCAATTTTAATCGCTTCTCGCTCGTTACGCAATTTTTGACTCGAGAGAATTTTTAATAATATTCTCTCTCTCTTTTATACTTTAACAAAATTTTTCGAAATTATAATTTCTGAAATTTTACCATCATACGCGTTTGGATTTGGACATTATTCGAATAATCATTGTACCCGTAAAATTAACATTTACGGTTCTAACGTTGTAACTTTGCGTTAATAATAACCTGCTAATTATCGGGGACAAATCAAAAAAAATTTTTGTAACTTTGCGTTAATATTAACCTGTTAATTATCGGGGACAAGTTATACATATAGATTGTTGCATTCATTGATAATATTGCAAAAAGAATTTTTAGTAACGATACATCGTACAAAAAGAATAAAAAATTGTATTTAAAATAGGTAGAATATAATATTCGAATAATCATTGCACCCGTAAAATTAATATTTACGGTTCTAACGTTGTAACTTTGCGTTAATAATAACCTGCTAATTATCGGGGACAAATTATACATATAGATTGTTGCATTCAGTGATAGTATTGCAAAAAGAATTTTTAGTAACGACACATCGTACACGACGATACAAAAAGAATAAAAAATTGTATTTAAAATAGGTAGAATGTAATATTCGAATAATCATTGCACCCGTAAAATTAACATTTATTCTAACGATTCTAACGTTGTAACTTTGTGTTAATATTATCTCTGTTAATTATCGGGGACAAGTTATACATATAGTTATACATATAGGTTGTTGCATTCATTGATAATATTGCAAAAAGAATTTTTAGTAACGATACATCGTACAAAAAGAATAAAAAATTGTATTTAAAATAGGTAGAATATTCGAATAATCATTGCACCCGTAAAATTAACATTTATTCTAACGATTCTAATGTTGTAACTTTGCGTTAATATTATCCCTGTTAATTATCGAGGACGAAGTTATGTAGAAATTGTTGCATTCAGTCGTGATATTGCAAAAAAAAAGGAATTTTTATCGTACAAAGAATAAAAGATTATATTTAAAATACGCATCCATATCGCGAATTACAACGCGTAGAATGTAATAAATTCTCGATATTTCGATATTTAAACGGGAGTTTGTTGAATGAAAAACGAAATAAATTAAATTAAATCAAATCAAACGAAATTGACTTTCGCGAATTCTATTATACTTTATTACTCCGTATATTACGATTATTTTGTCGCCGTAATTATTCCGTGTTTCGTTGCAAGTAAAAGTGTTTGCACGCATTTGTACACCCGCATGCACCAAACCTGTACGATTTATACGTAAGGCGAAATTAACAGAGAACTTTTCAACTATGATGAATATTTACGCAACGTCTCGTATAAATAGCCATTACCCAGGTTGCATATCCATCTTAATTCCAGGGCGAGCATTATAACGACCTTCATAACGTTCAAACGTACGATAAGATACGATGCATACGATGCGCAAGTTATGTACGAACGTTTCCATTCCAACCAACAAACACGTTCCAACGTTTGATCGTTTATCGCGATTCAAGTTTCATCGTTTCGAAGAATAACGTGGATATTCAACGATATTAAGAAAATTATATTATATTTCAATAAAATTTCTACGAGGAAGAATTTAGATAACTATTATTATTAGCAGATTTTTATTCTGTATTTTTAAATTCGCAAAAAGATATATGTTGTCGTTTGTGTCGTCGTGTATTTTAAAGTAGAAGAAAGAAAGTATATCTTATTGGTTCATCTTATTGGCAATGGGTATAAAGGAATATCCTTTGCAAATATTAATTTGTACGCGAGATTAGAGAAGTAATTTAACGAACCGTAATATTCTTCTTCTCGCGATTCTTTGTAAAAGTAGTCTTTGTAAAAAAGATTTAACTCCTTCCTCCCATTAAGCGAGTTACGAAACAACCGAGTTAACCAGTTTCGAAAGAGGAAGAGAGCCGAACAAAGTCTCGCGTAAAAATAATCCGACATAACGAGTTCAGCCACCTTCCTTCTTCGTTATATATTTTTTTTATCCAATTTCCCCTTCGAATTACAGAAAAATTAAAGCGACGTTGCTCAGAATTTTGATGAAAAAAAAAAGAATTTTGATAAAAAAAAAAAAAAGGATTCGAAAAAAGAAAGATAGGTTAAAAGAAGAATATTCTGAGAAAGAAAACTGGAAGCGGAAGTTGGCCGAGTTTAATCGACAGATTTCGAATCGGGGAAGCCTGTCTCGGTTTAGAAGGAAAATGGAGGGCGGGGTTGGAAGAATACGTGATGTCACGGGAAAGAAAACTGTTTCCTCGGCCAGAACGGAGTTGGAGTTTATTTCATTTGGCAAATTCGATGAGAAAGGCTGTAACTAAGAGAGCGAGCGTCTTCGAGGTAGAAAGTAGGTTAGCTGGTTGCGTCGAACTAGACGGGCAGACAACCGCCTTCGAAATTGCGAATATCGGGTGGAATTTATTTCAACGGTATACCCTTCTCCTTTCCCCAATACAAATTGAGATCTCTCTCTCTCTTTCTTCCTCTTTCTCTCGAGGGGGATACGCGATATCCAGTCGCGTTCCGTCGATAATTTTTCCCTGAATTACTTTTAACAGGCTCGTGTTGCTTGTTGTCAAACCTTATCTCGCGACAGAATCGAGTAAGAAAGTAAGTTTCTTTGAGAAAAAAGGAAAAAGTTTGTGAAACATGTGGAGATCTCTTTTCTTCAAAAACCGAATAGCTGTCTAATTTCCCTTCTGAACTCGAATCGAGCCGAATTGTTACAAAGAAGATAAAACAATGAACATTAAGAGATTGGTTTCTAACAAAATGTCGTTATATTCATTCGAATAAAATTTACTTTCGCCGCTGAATACGGAATCTTGTTTTTCATGTACGATATTGTGAATAACCTATAAAAGTACCAACAGCTGTCTAATTTCCCTTCTGAACTCGAATCGAGCCGAATTGTTACAGAGAGGATAAAACAATAAATATTGGAAAAGATTGGTTTAGAATTTCTAACATTCGTTAGAAAGAATTATTAAAATTTTGTTACAGAGAGGATAAAACATAAATATTGGAAAAGATTGGTTTAGAATTTCTAACATTCGTTAGAAAAAATTATTAGAATTTCTAACAAAATGTCGTTATATTCATTCGATAAAATTTACTTTCACCGCTGAATACGGAATCTTGTTTTCCACATACGATATTGTGAACAGTGTGCAAAAGTACCAACAGCTGTCTAATTTCCCTTTTGAACTCGAATCGAGCCGAATTGTTACAGAGAAGATAAAACAATAAATATTGGAAAACATTGGTTTAGAATTTCTAACATTCGTTAGAAAGAATTATTAGAATTTCTAAATATCCTTATATTCACTCGAATAAAATTTACTTTCACCGCCGAATACGGAATCTTGTTTTCCACGTACGATGTTGTGAACAGTACCAACAACTGTCTAATTTCCCTTCTGAACTCGAATTGTTACAGAGAAGATAAAACAATGAACATTAAGAGATTGGTTTCTAACAAAATGTCATTATATTCATTCGAATAAAATTTACTTTCACCGCCGAATACCGAATCTTGTTTTCCACGTACGATATTGAGAACGTGGCGTGCAAAAGTAGCCAGTTTCGCGGGCAACGACGAACGTGGCCGCTCTTTGAAGATCCCCGTATCAAAAAATTACTCCTCCTCTCATTCCAACGCGCCGACTCCGAGCAAAGCGTCGCTTCGTGCTCGAACTCGTGTATCAGCATTTCCTCCGTTCCTCCGTTGGGGAGAGAATTCTGAAACTGCGCCGCGTAGTTTTGGAACAAAAGAAGGAGAAAGGGCGGCGTAAACGGGGTTTGCGGTGAAACGGGGCCGGTGTACGGAAAACTATGCGCATTCGAACGCGTCTCGCGTTGTCGTCGACGGAGACGTTGAATGAAAATTATACTCGTCCTATGTGCGTATAATCTCGGCCGCAAATTATTCTCGGTTTCGCGAGAAAACCGAAAAAAGAGAGGAGGAGGGGAGAGAGAGAGAGAGAGAGAAGAGGAAATTCGTCACTTTCCCCTGGCTCGACGCCACGCTCGGGTTAATTAAGCGAAAAACCAGCGCTCTATTTTTATGCGGGTTGTTTTGAGACGCCCCATCGTTGGAGGGAGGGGATGACAATCGAGGTAACGAAGCGAGAGAGCGACGAGAGAAAAAAAGGCGATGATTCCCACGATAGTGGAACGAAACTGTTTTCAGACGATTCTATTTTTTAATTCGTCCATTCCTCGAACGTTGAGTGCTTTTTTTGCCAAATTGCTGCTGGAGATTATCTTATCTTTCCAATTTTTTGTGATTGTATATAAGGTGTATCGTTGGAGTTGATCTTTGAACGTGCATCACTATATTAAAATTTACTTTTAAATTCTCTAAGTAGTCAGATATTTTTTCACAGAATTAATTCGATGGACACGACAAACTTTTCGAACTTGTTCGCTTGTTTATTTCCATTCGTTTCTTTCATTGAATACACGACAGCAGTTAAAATTCTATCTCAAAGAAAAGGAAACTCGATTCGAAAATATCATCGTGCTTCCACGAAAATAAGGGAGAAAAGATGTCCGGTTTTCCGTACGAGTTAATCAATTATTAGGTAAATGAATAATAATAATAATAATAATATAAATAATAAGGAAACTCACCGTCCCGTATCACGCCGCTTCCCAATTGCCTCCATTTGCTGAACGTGGTGCCGCCTTCGTCCGGCGTAACCGATCCGGTTGTTCCCGAATCTGGCTGCGTCGTCACCATCTACGAAAAGGTGAAAAATTATTACTTCCATCGCGAGCCGACAACAGTCGAATACCATTCCCCGCCGCGCTTCGAGTAATACCGATTTTCCAATTTTTCATCTCGACTTTCCTCGCCATTGATTCGATTACATTCGATTCCACTTTTCTCCCCTCTCACTTTGAACTTATACACTTTATAATACGAGGACGAGCGTGAGAAATTATATTATTATCAACTTCTGTTACTCGATTTCCAAACTCTCGTTTTCTATTTCTCTATTCTACTCTGGATTTAAATTAAGTTCAGTTTTTGATCGCGAAAAAGACAACGAAAACGAAAAAACTGTCTTATTACAAAACAACCAATAGTATTGGAGAATATCCTCCCTGATCTTATATTATCATTATCCTGATCCTCTGAAAAGAAAAAAGAAAAAGTTTTTACGAGAACCGAGGAAGAAAAGCTCGAGGACGAAAAGTGTATCGTAACGAAACGCTTATTATATCTGTACAAATATAATGATCCCCATTTTAAACTTGATACAAAGTAACTCTTGATTCTCCTTATTAAAGCTATACTTAAAGAAAGGAATAACGAATAACGAAATTGAACGAGAAATCCGAATTTCTTTCTCGAACAAAACGATCGGTTCGTTCGCGAATTCGAAGGGAATAGCTTTGGAAACGGAATAGGCTTCGTCTTGGTTGCAAATCAAGGGCGAGGTAGAGGGTTATTAAAACATGGGCGGTGAACGTAATTGAAGCTTGGCCCTCCCCCAACGTAATGGCGGCAGGGTCGATTTCAGAGGCTCTATCTCTTCACGGTGTCGCGATCTTCATTACAAATGTGTCTGGCTTCGTTGGAATTTACGAGCGCGATGAGTGGTGGGCGTGTACGTGTACGTGATACGACTTTTCAATTGCTGCACAAGTTGTGTGGAGCTTGGTCCACGGCGCCTGTAATTTTCCACCTCCGCTCATTCTTACTTATTAGAACCTACCTCCAAAACTGTATACGACTTAGATTATTATTAGGGATTTTGGTTGAAGAGGAAAAACAGGAAAGATTCTCTTCGAAGTTTCGTTTAATTTTACGAAACAATTGTCGTATCTTTTGATCGATTTTGAACGTCGTTGTAAGATTTTTGCGCCTCTCTCTCGTTCTCTCGATTGGAAGACGAGCGTATGCAAGTTGTTAATTTATTTTTCTTCTATATAATTTGCAACATTACGAAAAATTGAAAATATTTTCAAAGCTTTTCCTCTCCAACGAAATGATAAGTAACAAGTATTATCAAATTCAATGATGAAAACTGATATTAAATCGATTGCATGATTAAGTAACTTGCAGGAAAATTTGTCGAGTTCATTCATAGATAAATTCTTAATTAAGTACTTAATTTAAAATCGGAGTTAATATATTGTATAATCAACAGTTTTCTGTTATATTTAAGTTCGAATTGAGTGAGAGAAGTGTTCTGAGATATGAAATAAAGAGAAAAAAATTGTTCTCGAATTTCTGTTCGAAAAGTCTGAAATCACCAGACGATCTCTCCTTTTTTATTAAAGAATCTCTTCGTCTTCATCCTTTCTCGCTTCGAAAATATAACGGTACAAATAAAACGGTTGCTGTTGGACGACTTCCTTTTCAGCAGATATCCACACACACACACACATATATATACACATATATCCGTGGCAATGAAATCGTAATCAGTCGAAAAAGCGAAACGACTTATATTCTCTATATATTTTTCCTCTGCCCCGTTATCAAATAGAAAAGAAGACTTGTTATATTACAAAGCATTTGGCGAAAAATTAGGAGGATAAATCGATATTGTTTTGAAAGTGAGAGATCGGATTGAATAAAGCTTTCCTTTATTTTTTAAGAGACTCGTTCGTTGATATTGGACGAGTGCACAAGCTCGTAACATTTTTAATAATCGTCGCTTCTTTGCCGTCATCCGTTTTCACTGTGCTCGAGCGTGCTCGATCTTCGATTCCGCGCGTCAAGGAGTCGGCATGTATATGTATGCCGTGTCTCGTACGAGGCAGCCATAAATTCAATCGAATCGCGCGGAAAATTGGAAAACGGTTAAACTTGGAAAGAAGAAACGCGTGCGTTTAGTTTATTGAATTTGATAAAATAAAACGTTCCCAAGCTCGCAAGCACGTCGTTTCGTTTTTTATTCGTGAATTATACGATTTTATCGTATCGAGTTTTGTAACGGTTGACAAATTATTTATTTCAATTCATATTGGGATCCTTGATGTCAGGAATGTTGGTTGATGCATTCGTTTGAAGATTCTAGAAGGAAGTTGATATATAGAAAAAGGATGATGGAAGCTTGTTTATTAAGCGATTTAATTCACGTTGTGTGATTATACGATATTACAATTGAATTTTGTAATATTTATGGATAAATTTATTTATTGCAATTAGGATGCTGATATGCTATATGAAATATTGGAATGCATTCGTGATACTTCGAAGGATCGATTTTAGAGGAACAAAAGTTGATATAGAAAAAGAATGGTGAAGTGCATTTTGTAATATTTATGGATAAATTTATTTATTGCAATTAGGATGCTGATATGCTATATGAAATATTGGAATGCATTCGTGATACTTCGAAGGATCGATTTTAGAGGAACAAAAGTTGATATAGAAAAAGAATGGTGAAGTGCATTTTGTAATATTTATGGATAAATTTATTTATTGCAATTAGGATGCTGATATGCTATATGAAATATTGGAATGCATTCGTGATATTTCAGAGGATCGATTTTAGGGTAACAAAAGTTGATATAGAAAAAGGATGGTGGAATGAATTTTGTAATATTTATGGATAAATTATTTATTATAATTAGGATGCTGATATTTTATATATAAAATATTGGAATGTATTTGTGATACCTTCGGAGAATCGATTTTAGGGGAACGAAAATTAATATAGAAAAAGATCGATGGCTTATTAAGTTATAACCGATTTAAATTCACGTTATATAATTATACGATATTAAAATTGAATTTTATAATATTTATGGATAAATTATTTATTGCAATTCATATTTGGGATCTGAAGGATCGATTTTAAGAGGAACGAAAGTTGGTACAGAAAAAAGGATGGTCGATGGCTCGTTTATTAAGTTATTAAGCGATTTAAATTCGCTAAAATTGATGATGAATCGAGCTACGGGAACAGAGGGTGACAATGATGTAACGACGTACAAAACGATCACTCTTTCTTTCCTTCGCAAACTTCGATAACTTGACCTTTTCAGCAAAAAAATATATCAACAGCTAATATCAAGTAAAATAAAATATTATCAATCTTTCGTCTCTATTATTAAAACCTTCTCGATTTGGAATAATTTTAAAAAAAGAGGAAGCTAAACATATATACCTCTCCGTATCTCTTTATTATAAATATCTCTCGATCGACATTCTCGTACATATATATATATTTCCACCCTTAAAATCGATAGCCTCAAAAGACGTCGTTACACACAAAACGGAGTCGGTAGGAAAGTGGCGTATTTAATGTAATCCCAAAAGACCGAGCATGATAGAAACTCCGTAACGCGACATCCACGATCTTGGCGAGTGCAATTATCTCGTGGATGATAGCGGGGGGTGGGAGAGGGGGCTCCGAATGGCGGAATACAAGCATACAGGTTCACGGAGGCGGAACACCGGCGGCCCACCTCTGTCCTTCGCCCTTCGATCCGCAGAGCAGAATGGGGTGAGGGGGTGAGGGCGGCCTCGGCTTTTGGGAGGATTCCAAAGAGGCCAAGAGGAACGCGCGCCATCGTAATCCCAGCCGAGCGATCCCGGAATCCCGGAATGCAAATTCGACAGGAATATTAAACGGCCGATATTCTACAGTGGCCTTCTCCGATAATGCATGGCCGCTGTATGCATCGCCGCCATATGGGGCTGTTGTGCCCCGCGTGCTTTTGTTGGGAAAACGAAAATGCGGTTGAACCGTGACCTCGCCGGTCGAAACCTCTGAAACGAGCATGCGCGTCGAATAACGCACAACTTTACCGCGATCTGTAAACCATTCTCTGTGAATGGCGATTTCTATCGAAAAATGCCCCTACGAAAATTTGCATATCCGTCTGCACTTTTTTTTTGTCGTTTTAACGCGTTCTCGATGATGGCCAACCTCTGGTGTCGCGAAGAGTGTACTGTAAAAATACTATCCAAACGTTGTCGATGGAATGTAGAAGAAAGTATGTAGAATTTTTTATAAACGATTCCATGAATGGCGCGACG